CAAGCTAATATTTCAGCCTAAACGCAATCCATTAGAATGAACGAAACGGTGGAGCATGTACAGACCAGCGTGGCACGTCGCCTTATACTTCTACACATTGTGTACTAATAACATTCCATGTTAGTACACTGAATGGCCTCGTCCGTCACGTGCGGAAGTTAGTCTTACTGAAAAACAAATGGTAGAAGTGAGAAAATGTGTATCGCATATCTATTCCTCACACAGAAATACTACTAAAGACTTTATTTTCTCTTATGTGGATGACTTGACAGTTAAGCTCCTTGGGCATTTCCATAAGCACACTATGCCGTAATGACACAACAACAACTGATCACGCTGGCGGAGTGGGTGTGTGTGTGGTTGTAAATTTTTATCGGTTTGATTGTGTGCTCTAAAACCTATTCTGTCTCATGGTGATAAGGTGTCTTGAGAGAATGGTTATAATTCTTTTGCTTGGATCGAAAGTATCTAGCCCTTTTGGGCTATGCATGGGCTGTGTCGTGACTTAGCTCTCGTTCCACTTGCATCTGCTGCCCTAAACTGCAGACTGCTTATTTTAGTCCTTCGTCCCTGGCACCCTTAATCGCATATTATTCACTTGCAGGATAATACAATGAGTAACTAGTCTTTCTTCTTAGTACGTACGTCAGGTGTTTACACACAAAGTTGTTTACTTGACCTCACCAGGGATAGCTGGCTGAGTAATTGCTGCGGATGTTGATTAATGCGAATGTGATATAAGATATTCTGCCTGCTGCTACGGTTACCAGTATTAGTACCGATGATGCCAAAAGTAAGTATAGGGCCTCATTTTGTACCGTGTACATAAATTCTCCAAGGATTTGGGTCATAGCTTAATCAAGATGGTAAGGAACGAAGGCATCAAATCCGATCCAGTGAACATCTACTACAAGCACGGTGCGACAATGCGAAACGCAATCTCGCACCCGCGTGTCATTTATATGATGCCGTCGTCTTGATGACGATAGCTAAGTACACCTTACATGGTCCACACAAACTAGCCTTTGGTGGAACTGCGCATGACACACCATCTTTTGTGTAAAGAATTAGCACAGTGCATCCGTTTCTGAATACAAAAATTCATTATTTTTGAGGCTACCACAAATGCTGCACATGAATAATGCTGCCGCACTGAGAAGTCTCTTCGTGTTTCAGGCTTTTAGATCGGAAGGTACGTGGCTGAGTGTAGAAATGGAAAGGTCATTTTGCTTTTTGTTGATCTTAACTTTCCACTTCTACCATTGTTCCCTTGACACGATTTTATTACCTGAACTCGCGCGTCACATATATGTGACTCCTTCGCTTTTGAAGAAGGTAGATCGATTGGGAGGAAATGCATTAATTGTCATATGTATCGTTACAGTTAAACACAGTGGTTGGTGACTGATATTCTCTTGTTGTTAACTTCATTTGATGCTTGACGGTGGCCATGAGGATGAAAGTATTAGCTCGATGCTTTGTACGAAGCTGCACCATACGGTAATTGGGTCTCTCTTTGCACATTTTTATTCATATTAAGGTTTGATCATTGGCCTACTTTCGTTGTCTCCTATGTCGTTGCTAGCAATCACCATCGGTAGTAGACGTAGTATACCGCGTTCTGTTGCCATCGCCGTCAATACCACCGAATTTCGCTATCGTAGGGGCATAAGCGCCTGCCTTTGATTCTCGTGTATTCACCTGCCACGCAAATGTTTTGCCTCAACTAAAGTCCGCCATACTGATCTTTCTCATGGCAAGAACCCACAAACTAACATGTCCACCAGTCAGTTGGCCATCCTCTGGCCCTGTAATATTTGTCTCTCTTTCTGTCCGTCTTTTTTTATTTATCAGTATTTTATTATTCTTTTACATTTTGCCATACAATACTTGACCCTAGACAGACACACCTGACGAGAGAAGCCATTGAAACACTA